ACATCTCAGACTGAGATTTTTGCTTCTTCTGTTTTACCCAGAAGGTGCTAATCAGAAGAAGAACTTGCCCCCCAAAGTGCCCATAACTCCAATGCCACGGTATTCCATCATGGAGACCCCGTTGCTGAAGAAAGAGCTGGACAGGTTGGTGGTGTTCTTGAAAGCTTGCTCAAATGTAGTCTTTTCTCTCCTGCACATTACCAAGCTCAGCAAGTCTGGGAGTGGAACTGTCCAACAGGTGGCCTTTCAGATCTGATGGGCACTGCTGGGCCAGGCCAGGGAAGAAGTTGTGCCATCAGCTCTGCAGGGAGTGTGTGGCTCCTGGGATGGGGTAAATGGCCTGGGACTGTCTGCATACTGCTCCCAGATTACATGGGCCCAAAAGAAGCCAACCAATGAGACTCCTTTGTGTCACCATAAGGAAACAGGTCTCCATGCTCCACAGGGTGAGTGGCACCTGGGGAACTCGCTGCAGAGCACTATGGGAATGCCCCCGTGGGTACTGTGCAGCATAAGCTTGCTTGGTGCATGAGTGTTCTTGGAGGACAGGTGTCTCCAGTGTCAGTCCCATGGAAACGTTCCTTGAATCCGTTGGTGTTTGCTCTGTGCTGACATGGAACAGCTTGGAGTGTGTAGGCTGCAGAGCTGTGTCGAAGTTCACCTGTTTCCCCATCCAGGTTTGGAGTCCGCCCTCTCCCTAAACGCCAGATGATTTTGAAACTGAAGGAGATTTTCCAGTACACTCACCAGACCCTGGAGTCTGACTCTGAGGATGAAATCCAGTCCTCACAAGTGCCACTGGAGGCACCTTGCAGCCAGACCCTGACCACTGAGACCTATAGGCCTTCACGGGCAGGCCACACCCAGTCCAAGGCCACTGCAGGTCCTAGGACCCAAAGGTCCAAAGGTCCCACTAAGGCCAAGGGCCCCCGACATCCAAAGCACCAGCCTGGTGAAAGCATTCCGCACCCAAGGAAGTCAGCAGCTGAGGAGCCGTCTCCAGGCCCTGATGGTGACGCTCAGCTCCCAGCCTCCCAGGAATCCGTGGCCACCTATGTGGACGGCAATGACAGCTCCTTCAGCTCACAGAGGTAACTGGATGAAAGCGACAGGGCTGCCTCATGTGTCCTCTGACTAGCCGGGCTGAGGGTGGGCTCAGTGCGGCTTGATGGTGATGTTCAGAAGCCCGTTGTCTTGGGCTTGAACTGTAGGAAGCCTGGGTGGCAGACCTTTCCTTGCCCACACGCCCAGAGTTTATGGCTTACGGGGGATCCAGCTCAGGCAGCCCAGCTGTGGGGTACCATCAGGAGATCCTGCCACCCTGGGGGGTGGTCATCTCTGCCATGCCATGCCCCACACGGACACAGAAACACTTCTTCCCTTAGAGGGGCTTCTGGCCCCAGGCTAGAGAGGAAGGGCACCCCAAAACAACATGTGTTCTTTTCAGTTCTTCCTCCAGTGAGTTTGGAGCCACCTTTGAGTCTGCAGGTGAAGACGAGGAGGGTGAGGAGGCGGTCAGTGCATCACAGGCAGCCGTCCAGGCAGTGGACACGGAGGAGGCTGTGAGACGCTAYGTCCGCTCCACGCCAGCCCTGTACCAGAAGGTGCTGACGTACCAGCCCCTTGAGCTGGCAGAGCTGCAGGCCGAACTGAAGCAGAATGGCATCCGCGTGGCCACAGGCAAGCTGCTGGACATCCTGGACGCCCACTGCATCACCTTCACCACCGCTGCAGCCCGCAAGGAGAAGCTCAAGCAGAAGGGGCGACAGCGTGTGGGCAGGAAGAAAGGGGAGTGGGATTGACAGGGCCCTGCCCCATCCCCACTGCCAGTGGCCTATGGCATCTGTGCCCAGCACCAGTCACCCCCTCTGGCCATCTCCAGGAGGGCCTGGGTACCCAGGATCAAATGTCCACAGGCATGCCTGGGCCTCAGGACATCAGCCCACCTGCCGCCTCCTGACCTGCTTCTGCTGCAGTAGCTGGAGCATGGTGCCCACTTAGTTAGGGTCCTGTGAGAGGGCATAGTGCCTGTCAGGCCCTGCCAGTCTGTTCCAGAGGGGCAGTAAACCACCCCAGCTGGCCAAGGGAAGGCCATTTCTGCCCCTTCTGCCACTCGGTGTCCTTTAGGCCCAGGCAGACTGCCCCATGAGTGTGTCCCAAGATGTCTGTCAGGTCCAGCCTGCCCCAGCTGGCCAGCCTGTCTTCCTTCTCTGCACTCAGACCAATCCCAGTCACCACCAGCAGACCCTGGCATCTGCAGGCCGCCTGTACCACCATGCCTCAGGAGCAGCTTCTGGCACAGCTGCCCAGACTTGTCATTGTCACCAGCAGTCTCCAAACTGAACAGTACACAGGGCCCGGCACACCCCTGCAGACCCCTGTTTGTTAGTGGGTTCCGTCCACGGGTGGAAGCTGCTTCTGGCTTGGGAGTAGTGTGGAGCACCGGCGGAGCTGGAGGGGAGCAGAGCTTGGGCCTCCACGTCCTGTGAATGTCCTCGTCTGTCAAATTCAGCACAGTTGGTTTTATATGATGTGCAATAAACATAAAAAAGACTAAAAACCAAATGCTGTGCCCTGGAAAAATCTGCAGGAGCTCGAGCCCCAGCCCCTGCTGCCCACCTGAGGTGGCAGAGACTTCTTTGTGCCTGCTCTCTTGGGTTCCAGGCCATCGTCTCACCCCTTTTTCTGGTTTCTGGATAACAGACACAGGTGCTCACTTGTTCCCACACTGAAGGGAGCCCTCACTGGCTGTGCTCAGGAGGCCTGGGCACTGTGCCCAGCCTTATCTGGGGGGCATTTCAGGAGCAGGGTGCTTAGACCTGCCAGTCAACCTGCCTTTGTACAGTCAATCACTGTCATGGCCTGTACACTGGGCCCTGGCTGCGTCCTGTCCTGCCTAGTACAGAAGGCAGCCCCTGGCCTGTCCCCTGCCTAGCATGGGGGTCAGGGCTCCGTGGCCTGGAGTGGCATCAGGGACAGCTTCCTGGAAGAGGGATTTGTGAACTGGGCATTAGGGGCAGATAGCACTTAGGAGAAAATGGGGCTTCATAAATATGTAGTGTGTGTGCTGGTGGCCACCAGGTGGAGGGACCCCAACCTGGCTTACGTTGCTGTGGCACCCAGAAACAGTAACTGAGGAGGAGGTTGCTGCTTCCAGAAGGGGAGGAGTAGTGTGGGCCACTGCCGTCAAGGAACAGTGCAGATGGAGGGGCCTCGTTACTGAGCTGAAAGTGGTGGTGAGGGGCGCTTCAAGCCCAAGTCAGGGAGCATCCCCTCCAAAGGCTTCCTGTCCCTGACAGGAAAAAAGCCCTGAGCCCCTGCAGAATGTTCGCTGGATTGCCTGAATCTTGATGCAATGTGACCAGACCGCCACACCTGCCCACTTCCTGTGGCCTTGGTCCTGGCCACAGCCTGCGTTTGTCCACTCAGAGGAAAACAGAGGAGAACCACTGGCCCAAGCAACAAGGCTCACAGGGAAGGGCCCTGGGCTCCACAGGCAGGACGCCTCATGCGGCTGCTGAGTGGACAGAAAGCCCCAGACCACTGAAGACTCAGGAGCCTCTTCATCCCCCATCCATCCCCAACCCCCAGGAACCAGAATGCCCCGCCCCCAAGTTAACTGCCAAGAACAGGGATCAGCCTGTGTAGGTTGAAGGACATGCCTGGGAGCTGGGGTGTAGCTCTGGGAGGCTCCCCGAGATCATTTCCTCTCCTGTGTGCTCAGCATCTGTCCGCAGGAACCTAGGAAGGAGGCAGAGTGAGCCTCTGTGTCCTCCTCATGTGACAGGCCCAAGGCCCTGTGGTTTCCAGCATCCTGTGGGCGGCTTGGCTTCAGCTTTTGCTGCACCCCAGGGCCGAGGCCGCAGCCACCGGTTCTGGGCTCTGCCTGCCTGGAGGCTCACGGGGCTTCTGGGGGCCCAAAGTCGCATCCTCTCAGCACCAGGCACATCCCTGGGTGCTCAGAAAGCACTACTGGAAAGGAGCGGGGGAGGCAGATGGAGGGTGTCAAGAAACCCCGTTCCCCCTCCATCACCTGGAGAACCAGCGGAGAACTGGTGTGTGCCCTGCCCCCCTCCCCAAGCTGCTGTGTGCACCTGACTCACTGCTCTGCGCCACAGCCATTGCTGGCTCCGGCTTGCTTGCTGAGGAAACGCAGTCCCCAAGGCCCCCATCCCTCACCTTGTCACCGACTTCCCTTGGTGTCCACGTGTTAAGTGGCTGGCCCCCTGTCAGAGGAGGACGTTCCATCTTTCCTTTTTGTAAGTTTTCTCAGGATGTTCACTCTGGGCCACATTCCTCCCTCCCACGCCCTTCCCTGCGGGACCCACCACCTGGGGGGTCTGCCTGCAGGCCTGGGTGATCCCTGCCATGTACAGCCACATTCTGCAGTTTCAAGGTGCAGGGGACCTGGCGTCAGGGGCTCCTGAACTCACAGATATTGTGGGGTCCAGCTAGTCTGAAGGTGCCTGTGGAGGGACAGAAGGGGGAGAGAAAGGGGGGATTCACCACAGGTGGGAGGAGTCCAGCCCCAGAGGTCTTGGCACCGAGGCACTACCTTCCCCACCACCTGCCATCTGTTGATGGCCTGTCTCCCTTTTTGGCGGGAGGAAGGGACATGAGGACAGCTTTGACACTGTACCACTTTCTGCCAAGCACAGTCTTCAGGAATACTTGGTCCCAGAATCGAGGCTCCAGTGTCACTCCCTGCTCTCAGACTTGTGGGGTGATGACAAAGCGAGGTGAGCCCGAGGCAAACCCAGCTCATTGATCTGTGTGAGACTGTTGGCTTTTGAAATCAGACAGGAAGGAAGGCCGAGGTGGAGCCTGGCGGCACAGGAAGAGGTGAGCAGCCAGGGCCGCAGTGACAGGTGACGGCACGCATTAAGCTTCCTGGATCCCTTCTGACCAGGCTTTCTCAGCCTCGGACAGAGCCCAAGGACTCAGATAGCCTGCCACAGGGATACCCAGGGCCTCCCACCGCTGCCCAGCACTGGGGCAGGGCAAAGCCCAGTGGCAAGGAGATGGAGCTCCCCGGCTCCCCGTTCTTGTCATCTCTGGAGCAGCAGCTTGGCCCAGGAGGTAAGCAGAGTCCGGGCCACCTCAGTGAGGGGCAGACGAGGCGGCGGGGGGGGGGGGGGGGGGGGGGGGGGGGGGGGGGGGGGCAGCTAGCAGGAAGGACGGCAACTTTTCATTCTTTTTTTTTATGTACTGAGGATTGAACCCAGGGGTGGTCTACCACTGAGCTACATCCCCAACACTTTTTAGGTTTTACTTTAAGACAGGGTCTTGCTAAGTGGCTGAGGCTGGCCTCGAACTTGTAATTCTCCTGTCTCCCCTCCCAAGTCACTGGGATTTCAGGCATAGCCACCGTGCTTTCCTGGAATGGTGACTTTTAAGGACTGAGTTACTCTGGGCATAGAGGAGTCTCCAGTTAATTTTTCCCTGAGTGCTAGGAGCTGCTGAGGCCAGACTGTTTTCAAAGTGTGAAATAAACAAACATGTCCAAGGGACAGGCCCAGGGGAGGAAGCCCAGTCCCCACAGGTACCAATGAAGGGTGGGAAAGGTAGGAGGCAGCGGAGCACCCTGCAGGCTGCGCTGCTGGAAGCGTTGCTGTCCCTCCTCCCCCAGATGAGGTCCCTAAGCAGCCCACCTGCTCTCTATGCTTCAGCTCCCCACCTGCAAATGGAGGTAACACCATCAGCACCCGCCCCAAGGGTCATGAGGTCAAGGGAGGAGGTGCCGGTGGCTCTGGGTGTAGCTCATTGCTCCTGCCCCATAAATGCTGTGCTTGTGTTGGTGTGCAGCCTCTGGGCCTTTCCCAGCTGCACCCTCAGGGAAGTCGTCGCTTGGCATTCTGAGAGATATACCCATTGAGGGCCTTCTTTGGAACAGTGCTGCCAAGCTGGGCTGGGTGGGTGCTGGCCATGCTGGGGTATTGGCTGTCAGGCCCTCCCAATTGGACAGGCTCCTGGGTCCCAGGTCCTGAGTCTCTTCCCGGTTCCCTCTCTGGAGCTGTGTGCTTCCCAGAGCCTGGAGCTCAGCTTTGACCATCCCAGGCTGCAGGTGGGGCACCCCTCTCCTGCCCAGGGGTGCTGGCTCCCAGGATCAGGCCTGCCCTTCCACTGGTGCTCCGGGGTCAGTACAGTAGGGTCTATCTGAGGACAGGTGCTACTTCTTCCTCCCTTTGTGGAGGCTTCACTCAGGGGTTAGGCAGCTGGCCATGGCGCTAGGGCCATCTCAGGAGGGCTAAAGTACTAAATTTCCAGGCCTGGGAAGGGAGAGGATTCGGAAGAGAGGCAAACCTAAGGAGCTGCGGCCAGAGACACATGGCATCCAGGCAGTGGCCAGTAAGGGAGGCTGCACCCGTCCAGGGCTGCAGGTGGGCAGAGTGGGGGCTGGCCATTCAGGAAGGGCCCAGCAGGCTCAGGTAGCACTGCGGCCCCAGGGCTGAAGGACCCAGGACCCACTGGTGGAGACAGGGAGCCCAGCCAACCAGACCTTCTCAGGGTGAAAGCTCAGGTGTTGTGCCTGAGCGGCGGGGCCTGAGCCCCACCAACCCCAGGGAGGTCCCTAGAACCACCCTCCCCACTCAGAGCTCAGGAGACGGGCCATTGGGACACCTGGAAGGCTCCCAAAGATGGCAGTGACCACCCCTTGACTCTATAGCCTTGCCCTGTTTGCTACAACTTGGATCCCCCAAGACTACCCGAAGCCCATAGTCCTCAGTCTTCCCCTCTGTAACTGGGCTTGCAGGGCCCCTGCAGCTTCTCTGGGAGCCATTTACATTGGGCAGATTGCAGCATGACTGTGATGGCATCTGTGGTCTCCTGACCTCATCAGCTCAGAGGTCTGTGGGAGGCTCCAGCCCACAGAGAGGCTCTGGGGCCCTCAGGGCCTGCAGGCAGAGGCAGCCAGGTAGACGCCCTGGGGTGGGGTGGGGTTGAGATGAAGGGTTGTGGGTCCCCCTGCGCCTCCTTCTTTGTCCTTATTGGAGAAAGTGTCCACAGGGAAAAGCCAGGTTGGGGAGGCTTAGGGTCTTGTTGGAGTAGGGCCTGGGCAGAGGTGTCAGCTCAAATACAGGATGTTGTAAAATTTGAATTTCAGGTAAGCAATAATTTTTTTGTCATATATCACGAGGATTATACTTGTACTAAAAATTATTTGTTATCTGAAATTATAATTTCACAAGTGATTTCCTAATTTGGCAACCCTAGGCCTGAGGTTGAGGGTAAAAAAGATGTGTGGCTGATGGAGAGGGAATGTTGGCCCCCAACACAGAAGACCACAGAGGACCACAGAGGCAGGGTGCTCGCTGGGAGCCCCTTCTCAGGTGCATGCAGGCCCCGACCCTGCTCCGCATCCATGTTAGCCTGCTACTCTCTCCTGCTTTTGTTCCTCCCGCCTCCCTCTGATCCAGTGGTTCTCGACTCTGGGGGTCCTGCAGGTACCTAGGGGACTTAAAATAGGTCCACTCTGAGGCCCTGCCTCCCACCAATGGAATCCCAGGGTGGTTGGGCTTGAACAGTGGATGTTAAAGACAACGCTCCATAGAATGACCATGTGGTAAGCAATCCCCCCTCTGGTAACACACCCCAAAGAACTGAACACTGGGTCTCAAAAAGATGTCTGTACCCTGTGTTCACAGCAGCATAATCCACATAGCCAAAAGGTAAAGACCACCCAGGTGTCCACTCCTGGATGAATGCGTAGAGAAACTGTGGTCTACCAGTTACCATCCAGCCATGAAAAGGAGAGGAGCCGGCTGGACAGAGGGCTTTCCACTGAGCAAAGGCAGCGGACACAGAAGAACAGACCCATGATCCCCTGTGAAGTCCCTGAGCAGCCACACTCATAGAGATGGAAGCAGATTGGTGGGCGCCAGGGGCTGGGGAGGGGGACAAGGAGTTGTTCAGTGGGGACAAAGTTTCGGTTCTTCAAGGTGAGGGTCCTGCAGGTGGGGGCGATGGTTGCTTGACAATGTGAATGTAATACATGCTACTGAATTGCATTCTTAAATGCTTAAAATGGTCAACTTTATATTATGCATATTTTGTAACAACTTAAAAACTGAATTTAAAAAATTCTCTAGATAATGCCCTTCAGAGCTGAGAAGCACTGAGCTGGGCCCTTCACCCTCCTGGCCACCATGCCATCCCCAGTAGCAGCAGAGTTGTCACCTGGTGGACAGACCTGAGCATCCACCCCAGGGCCACACTCTGACTACCTGGCCTGGGAGCACAAGGTGCCCCTGGTGTCCTGGCCTGAGGCACTAATGGTCACTGCTTCCTTTTGAACTCTACTCTTTTGGATTTTTAGATAGTTGCTAGCTTAAAAATCAAGGTGTAACTTCCACATGACATGGTGAGTTCAATGGCTTTGTACACACCTATACACCTGTGGAAATACCACCCAGATCAATGTATAGAAATTTCCAGTACTCTAGAGGGCTCCAGTGAGAACCGTCCCCCAGGGGTAACCACTGTTTTGGCATCTTTTGTTTTAGATTGGTTTTGCCTGATTTTAAACTCCCCATAAACAGAATCCTAGATGGAGCATGTTTTTTTTTTTGGTATGAAAATGTGAGAATCATCCATGGGTGAAAGTGTCCATAGTTCGTTCCTTTTTCTTTTTTTTTTTAATGGACACTACACAATGCCCTTATTTTTATAAGGTGCTGAGGATCAAACCGGGGTCCCACCCATGCTAAGGGAGCGCTCTACCGCTGAGCCACAATCCTAGCCCAGTTCGTCCCTTTTTCATTGCTATATAGTATTTGATAGTACGAACATACCCCAGGTGATTGTGGGTAAAAACTGGTTGGTCCTACTATTTGGGGAGGTTATGAATGAAGCTATTAAGAACGCCTGGTGGGGAGCTGGGGATATGGTTCAAGTAGTAGCGCACTTGCCTGGCAAGCTTGAGGCACTGGGTTCGATCCTCAGCACCACATAAAAATAAGATAAAGATATTGTGTCCACCGAAAGCTAAAAAATAAATATTAAAAAAAAAGAAAGCCTGGTGGGCTGGGGCGGGGGCTCAGTGGCAGAGCGCTTGCCTAGCATGTGTGAGGCCCTGGGTTTTGATCCTCAGCACCACATATAAATCAGTAAATAAAATAAAGGTGTTTAAATAAATAAATAAAATAAAGGTATTGTGTCCATCTATAACAAAATATTTTTTATTTATTTTTTTTAAAGAGAGAGTGAGAGAGGAGAGAGAGAATTTTTAATATTTATTTATTTTTTAGTTCTCGGCGGACACAACATCTTTGTTGGTATGTGGTGCTGAGGATCGAACCCGGGTCGCACGCACGCATGCCAGGCGAGCGCGCTACCGCTTGAGCCACATCCCCAGCCC